TAGATAAACACTAACCCCTTAAAATATTACATATATTTATTTGATAATATAAACAAATTAAAAAAATTTATAAGTCTGTATTATTCTTTTAAGTATAAATAAAATATCAATCCTAACATGTTAGGTAGCCATATATACATCAGATGTACTACGTGGACAAATGGGAAAAGGCTAAAATCCTAGTAGGTGGATGGCCATGAGGTTTGACATGGACTAATAGACATATCGCCAACTACACTGTCAATTGTTAGAATAATGATTTTGTTATGAAAGTTAGTCATATAGTGACAATATTTTTATAAAGTCATTGACTTTACCAAATCTTCTATTAGTTTCAAAATTTAGTTATAATCTTCAATCATTATGACTTTTGATCATTTTCAAGCAGTCATTTTCTTTTTGTTACTCCTTTTGATCTTGTGCATTCTGACACTTCTATTTCTTACGTCCATCATGGGGATTCTGAGTATTTTATGTTATTTATTAGTGATGATACTTGTTTTACCTAAATATATTTTATGAAAAATGCCTAATGAAATTGAGCACAATTTTGCAAAGAAATAGTCCACTTCCTTCTCGAGAAGGGATGGGAAACACGCTCAATATCATTTGATTAAGTACCTAGCTCCTTCTTGTTTGAAGAAACCCTCCACTTCAATTGGTATTTTTTCACGAAAGCAAGCATGAGATAACAAATCTAGTCTTTCACTAAGATTTCAAATAATTGTCTCAAATTCAAGTTGATTTTGTTTTGCCTCCTTTATTTCTGTCAGAGAGTTATATGAATATTATATCATGTTCTATCAACACACTAAATGGATTATACCATATCTCTGGTGTGGAAGTCGGCCAACATTTACATCGGCAAATCAAAGCTTTCCAAGTCCATGCCCAAGTCTGTATTACTTCTTGGGTTGTCATTGCTATCTTATGAGGTTTTGCCGTTATTGCAATTCGGAATCCACAAACCATTCCAACCGACAATCAAAATTTCTTCAAATATGTTCTTGAATTTATTCGAGACATGAGCAAAACTCATATTGGAGAAGAATATGGTCCATGCATGAAAAACCCAAAGTTTATGCCACTAGATTCGAACAGGCAATTCAATTTATTGTTATTGTTGAAAGTACACAAGGCCAATGAACCATATAACATTAGAAAAATAATAAATAAACAAGTCGAGCATTTAGGTTTTGTTTGGGAATAATTTTCAGTTACTTTAAATTTTTTTTATTATTTTAAAAATATACAAAATATTAATTAAAATACAAATAAATATTAAATATATTATATAGAGATTGAAAAAATTAAGATTTTTTAACAATTAAAATATT